CTATAGATAAGAGCAGAGCTAACAATACTGGCTCCAGACTGCACAATGGAGGGGGAAGGGCAGAGCTGGAGCCGAGAGGACAGATAAGTTCACTAACTTCCTTCTGACTCCCACACGGGGCTGCAGACCAGCAGACACCTGAGGGGTGGGTTTGTGAAGCACGGAGTTAACAAAGAGAAGCTCAATGGCAAACCGTGGGCCCCGCGAAGCTGTGAGCCCTGACCACCGCCTGGGCTCAGCCTCGACCACGCCTCCTCCTGGAAGTCCTTACCTCCGACCTGGCTTTCCCTAAGGTAGATACCTCCCTCCCTCCTCGAGGTCCAGCCCCACAGCCTCCCCCGGCCTCCACGACTCACTTCATGACCAGGATGCCCTTCCTCGTGGCGGCCTCCAGATCCACGTTGTCCACGCCGGTGCCGGCCCTGCCCACCACCTGGAGCTTCTCTGCTGCGTTGATGACGTCCGCCGTCACCTTGGTGGCCGAGCGCACGATAAGGCCTTCGCAGTCCTGAGGCAGAAGAAGAAACATCTGGGTCCACGGAGCCTAGAGCTTCCTTGCCCACAGGGGGCGCTCCCACGTGCTGGCTGACTGGGTGTCCTCAAGGAAAAGGAGGCAATGGCGTGGGGCACCGTTTACACATCAGCGAGGCTCCCCCAGTCAGGTCTGGGTTCAAATCCAAGCTCCTTCCCTGGGGAGTTCTGAATCTGAGCTTCAGCCTCAACAGCGTGAGAGGGGGCGGGGGACAGGCCGGTGCAGCACCTGGTGTGGTCGCTGGCCCTGCTCAGGTGAGACAGGCCAGTAAGCCAGGACAGGCGGAACAGGGAAACTGAGACCTGTCGTTTTCAGCCATCTAGTAAATCCCACCTTCCCGAAACCAAGGACACTTAAAAAAAGTAAATGGTGTGCATTTCTCCCCCCCAGCCAGAGGGTCCATAGCTTAAATCACCCTACTCAGGGAGAGAGCAGAAATCCAATTAGTGCCATTTGCCAACCACACCCAAGGACAGACAAATTAAGAGAATAAATCCCATTTTGGTACATCAGCATAAAGCTGAACATTCTATTGAGATCCTTCCCTAAGACCTCACCTAAATGCCCAGCCTTTAAAAACCCTCAAAAGGAAGATCCAGTCCTGGCTGGTTTGGCTCAGTGGATAGAGCATCGGCCTGCGGACTGAAGGGTCCCAGGTTCGATTCCAGTCAAGGGCAGGTGCCTGGGTTGTAGGCCCGATCCCCAGCAGGGGGTGTGCAGGAGGCAGCTGATCAATAATATTCTCTCATCATTGATGTTTCTATCTCTCCCTCTCCCTTCCTCTCTGAAATCAATAAAAATATATATTTTTTTTTAAAAAAAGGAAGATTCAGCTCATGCTCTCCCTCCCAGGAACTAAACTCTGAGGGACCCCATGAGGCCTGCAACCAGGGCAGCAATGGACGGTGGTTGGCTGCCTTTTCCCTGGCTTCTTGGGGAGCCAAAGCGGACCGCTAGGTTCATTTCCCCAGCCTTTCCTTGTTTCCCCATTCCCCGCTTTAACAAACGTCCTCTAACATTCACCTGGGCTCGTGTTGTGAATTTTTTCCTGCACAAAGTCAAGACCCCCTGTCTGATAACCAAGGGACATCCCTGCCTCCACTGACCCTGAGAAGCCCCTCGGCTGGCACATGGAAGGCACTCCATAAATAAATGGTGGTCGGCTGGATGAATGAATGAAGTGAATGAATGAAAGACAAAACCGCTGAAAGGAAAGCATCTCTTAAAATCAGAGACCAGAGGGGAAAGGAGAGAACAATGAAACGGGTCCAAAATTGCTCAGAAACCCAGGCAACATTAGACTAAAATCATACATATGTGAAAACGGAGACCTTCTAGAGCAGTGGTTCTCAACCTTCCTCATGCCGCGACCCTTTAATACAGTTCCTCATGCTGTGGTGACCCCCAATTTCATTGTTACAAATTGAACATAATGAAAGCATAGTGATTCATCACAAAAACAATATGTAATTATATATGTGTTTTCCGATGGTCTTAGGCGACCCACAGGTTGAGAACCGCTGTACTAGAGTCATCCTAGCCACTCTGCATAGCCACTCGGCTAAGCTAGACCCCGAGGCGGTCTTCATAGCTCATCCAGACGCCTGGGGGATCTTCCCACAACAAGGATATTGTTGCCCAAACACCCAATGAGCATCCGCAAGCAGTAGAGCCAGTGAACAAGCACCCGGCCCAGCCCCACTGGCTGCCCAGGTGGGTGAGGAAGCAGCAGGCGTGGAGTCGTCGGGAGGCTGGGTCTCAGCGCTGGGTTGGTCATGTCGACCCAGCCCTGGTCTCCGTCCGTACGAGAGGGTTAGAACAGATGGCCCTCGGGTCCCCCCCGCATCTGCTCGGACTCCCATGAGTGGGAGTCTCTGCATTTTCCTCAGCGGAGCTCTCAGCTGGATCCCGCGAGAACTTTCTTTCTTCCCTTCCCACCACATCCACCTCGATTCTGGAGAAAGAAAGGCCAGTGGCACCTGGCTCCAAGGGCGAGGGCCCCACTGTAACACTGTGCACAAGCCCAGAGCCCAGGAACAAGTCAGGACGAGGTGCACAGAGAGAGAGCAGAGCCCCACGTTCCTCCACGGCCGGGGGGGGGGGCGGGGGGGGGGGGCGGTTTCAAGCCAAGTCTCTAGATCTGGAGGCTTCACCGATGTTTCAGGAGGCTTTTCTCCACTTGACGGCAGAGAGTTTGATGCAAGACCCCTCATGGGCACCCCAAGCCCTTTTACTTATCTGTGACTTTATTATCTGTGGTTCCGAAATAAAACCTCAAAATGTGACATTCAAAGAAGCATTAGTCTCACCCCATTTCACAGATGAGAAACTGAAGCCCCCCCACCCCCCCAAAATGAAAGCTGCCCACGTCCCCTCCTCCTCATCCCCGCCTCATTTCTTCCATTTCTTCTTTCCATCTCCGGGGTGCCTGGTATATATATATCTGGAATTATGCTACACCTGTCAACACAAGTCACAGCCCCACCCAAGGAGCTCACAGCAACAACACACCAGAACTCACCACTGCACGTGTATGGGTGTATGGTGTGACCTCGGCGTGTACAAGGCATGGAAAGGTTAAGGAAACAGACAGGAGCCACCCTGTCTGGGCTGCCGGCCAACACCTGGTACTCTGAATACCCCCCGAGTGAACATCAGCCAATGCCCGGCCAGAAAGGGGACACTGTGTCTGTCCCACATCCAAGTCCACCGCACTTGCCTCCAAAGAAAAGGATCCCCCTGCCTGGCCACACGCCACCCACTCTTCCAGGCAGACAACTTCCCTGCCATGAAACCTTTGCCAGCAACCCTGGACTCCATCACGGAACCTCCCCTGTTTTATCATCTGCTTCACATTTAAAGGTCCTCTCTCTGACCTGCAGTTTGCTTTTCTCACCCGTTCCTAAAGCAAAGATTATTTTAATAGCTGATACTCAATAAAAGACACCGCTGAATAAATGAATCCAGTGACGAAACCTACCCTCACCATTCTCCTCACCCCCGCCCTCCTTCCCCAAATATTTGATCGGGTCACATGACTGAAAATCCAGCATCAGAAATCCCTTCTCTTGGGTGTGATAAGAGGCTTAAGATTTACTTGTGTGAGCTCTGAAGAGTTTTCTGAAAAGGGAGAACAAGTTGGGAGGCCGTCGGGAGAAAAGAAAGGTTCAGAAATTGCCAAGTCAATCAACACAGCCAAATAGGCACTAGACCAGTGATGGCGAGCCTTTTGAGCTCGGCGTGTCAGCATTTTGAAAAACCCTAACTTAGCCGAAACCGGTTTGGCTCAGTGGATGGAGCGTCGGCCTGCGGACTGAAGGGTCCCGGGTTCGATTCCAGTCAGGGGCATGTACCTGGGTTGCGGGCACATCCCCAGTAGGAGATGTGCGGGAGGCAGCTGATCGATGTTTCTCTCTCATCGATGTTTCTAACTCTCTATCTCTCTCCCTTCCTCTCTGTAAAAAATCAATAAAAAATATATTTAAAAAAAAAAAAAAAAAAAACCCTAACTTAACTCTGGTGCCGTGTCACATATAGAAATTTTTTGATATTTGCAACCATAGTAAAACAAAGACTTCTATTTTTGATATTTATTTCATATATTTAAATGCCATTTAACAAAGAAAAACCAACCAAAAAAATGAGTTTGTGTGTCATCTCTGACACGCGTGTCATAGGTTCGCCATCACTGCACTAGACAAACAGACCCGTGTGGGGATTTACAAAATAATAAAGGCAGGTTTCAAACTGCTGGGGAAAGGAAGATCTATGCAATAAATGGCAGGAGGAAAATGTAAGGGACAAAACATTGAATTCCTTCTTTATCTTTCTTACAATTATGAGCAAAAGGTATAAATGCATTACCAGCCTGGGGGCTAATGGATTCTGACCAGCAATGCTATTTAATGAAGCAAGAAAATATGTAAATGCATCACATATGGTATGGGTGTTATTTCATGCAACTTTATAGTAAGTGTCTGTCTACATGTGTAGATGTGTATACTGAGTTGTGATGTAAAATGACTTTCTGATTGTGGGTCATGGTCAACGTTAAAAAGCCACTGATCCGTGGTAAGATTTAAATGTTCCTGCATATTAGATTTAAGAAGTGGCACCAGCCCGGCCAGCGTAGCTCAGTGGTTGAGCGTCCGTCCACCTATGAACCAGGAGGTCAAGAGTCCATTCACAGTCAGGGCATATGACCAGGTTGCAGGCTCAATCCCAGTGTGGGGCGTATAGGAGGCAGTCGATCAATGATTCTCTCATCATTGATGTTTCCATTTCTCTCTCCCTCTCCCTTCCTCTCTGAAATCAATAAAAACATATTTAAACAACAACAAAAAAGAAGTGGCACCTGCTGAGAGAGGAGGGTACACAGTCTTGAGTTTTGTGAGTTCCAAAAAAAAGATGCTTTGTTATTCCAGGCCGGTTTTCTAAACATTTTTTTTTACTAAGACCCATAGTTAAGAAACACATGATTAAGTTGTGATATTAAACTCACATATCCCACACACACCCCACAACTACACACATAACTGAAACAAATTTCACGACACAGTATTAGCCTTACTATCTGCATAGTTCTTATTTCGTGTGTGTTTTTCAAATGCTAATCATGACCCATTAAAGCGACGTCCTCACCCAGCAATGGACTAGCTGTGACTTGCTTCAAGTCTGCAAAGGACGGTTCTGGGGGAGTACGCGAGGGCACACTGTGCCTGCCCAGAATGCGAAGGAGTGAGAACGGAGGCCTGGCCTGGCTCAGGCGATGGGCTGGAGTTCCTTCCACGCTGCAAAGATGGAAACGGGGGAGGCAGGGACCCTAACTCAGATGCCTCTCCACGCAGAATAAAGGCGCACAGAGCGGAGAGGAGGGCACCGTGCAGTCGGCTGCCAAGAGGACGCCCCAGCACTCCCAGCTGAACGCTTCACAGAAGCAGGCAGGAAGGCCGGCGCTCCCAACAGCCCCAGGATGCCTGCCAGTCTAGCCAAGAAACACCCCTCCTGCCCTGCCAGTTCCCAGCGCCTTCAAAAGGGCCTCCAGATTTCAACTCCACACTCCTAGCTCCCACCTGGCTGGCTTCCCAACGCCCGGGGAGGCCTCCTGTTCTTCCCAATCCCACCACATTTACCCCTCCCTGGCCCCCGGCCCCCTCCCCTCTCGCGGGGTATAGGATCTCTGATTTCCATAAGAAAGCTGCAAAGCCCCAAGAAAGGGCCACGCTCCCCATTCCAGTGATCTGGCGAGTCTGGAGCTGGGCCGAAGGCCACTCCACTGCCTTCTGGCCACTGCCCAGGGCCAAGGTCATTGGCACCATCCATACAAAAGAGGAGGTGGGGAGTGTGAGGCGCCTGCCTCCCACCTGGACCCACCCTGCTCCTCGGATTAGGTCCTGAGCCCTTGCACCCCACCCCACCCCCCAGGCCAGGCCGATCAGCCCTGCTCCCCACTTCTGCAGCGGGAGCTGGGCTGCTAGGCGCCCTCATTCACCACTCATCTAGTCAGTCGCCTCGGCCGCCGTCTGGCCAGGTTCCCTAATCAGCTTATAAGCTTCCTGAAGGCACAGAGCGGTCAGAAACTTCTCTGAGCCCGAGAACGGTGGACGCCCGGACGCCGCATATGGGGGAGGGTCCACGGAGAAACGCGACAGCAGATACAACCGCACAGGCAGCTGTGAGGACCACGCGGTGGCGGCACCGTGAACACAGCAGCCGCCTGCTCTTCTGATGGCAGGACCCCGGGAGGAGCGAGGATGGAGGGGGTGGATCCGCGCAGAGGCAGGTAGAGGTTGGGGGAGGGGTAGACAGCGGGGTGCTGGGTGCAGGCGCTGGAGTGAAGAGTTCACAAAATAAATGACAGCCACTGGACGCGGCCACCAACCCTCACAGGACCCTGACCGCCAAGGTAGATTAAGATCTGAAGTCGATTGTGCTCATTATATCTCCCAACGAACCGAGATACGTTCCTGGGAACGATTTGCTAAGAAATACCAATTGCCTGGGGGCGCCTGGGATCGATTCCGGTCCAGTCCGGCCGTTCCTGACCAGCGAGGAGGCCACAGTGAGGCCATCCGCCCGGGCCACGTGCGGAGACGGAGCTTGGACCCCAGCCGCGTGGGCGGCCCAGGAGCTCGGGCGCCCCCCGCCCGCCCCCGTTTCCTCCGAGATCCCAGGAGGCGGAGGGGCGGTGAAAACTCCCAGCAGTCTTGCGTCAGACGAAAGGCGGGTGCGTTTGCTACCGTCGCTGCAGCTGCCACGAGACAGGCTGGGGCTCGGCCAGAGCCCCCCCAGGGCAGGCAGGAGTCGGCAGGGCGAGCCAGGGCTCAGTTCGGGGAGGATCGCGGGTCCCGGCGCAGGGAAGCCACTTTGGCCGCCTCCCCCCACCCCACCCCGCGGGGCCACTGCGCGCCCAGGCGCTGGGGGCCGGGCTGGCATCCCGCCGGAGCCTGCACGGCCCATTGCTCGCGGGTGGCAAACCAACGCGATACGCGCAGTTGCAAACTGCACGGAAAGTTTACATCCTGCAGCTCACCGCCGCGTGTTCCTCCCTCCTCCCCCCAACCCTTGAATCTGGAGGCCCCAGGATCCACCGATACCCGGGACGGGGGTGGGGGTGGGGGTGGGGGTGGGGCGCGCTGGCCCGGGCGCGGCCAGCCCGTTTCCGAGGAGGATGCCACCGAGCGCTTGTCTCTCTCCCGCTCGCGTTACCTGCAGCTCGGCGATCAGCTCCTCTTTGCTCAGGTTCTGCTTCTCCACCACCTGCAGCCCTCCATCTTGCAGGATCTTCCGGCAGCAAGGGTCCAGGCTGTCACTGATGAGCACTTTCTGCAGATTTGCGAAGGCCATTGCTGGAGCCGGCCTCGGGATCGACCGCTCTCCCTGGACGGAAACACCTCGGCGCCGAGAGGCTACCGTTCGGAAGGCCGGGCTTGTGTAACTGGGCAGGATTCACGATCTCCCGCTCCCCCCTTTGTCTCCCCCTCCGGCTCCTACCGGCTCCTTTGATTGGACAGAAATGCTCCAACTTCGGTGACTCCGCCCCCTCCTCCTCCTCGAGGTTCTGAGCCTTCAGTTCCCCTCCCACTTTATTATTCGCAGGGATTGAATTTCTCAATCTCAGCCAAAATCCTTCCCTGCACCTGGTGAGCATGGACTAGTAGAAGCACAACTTATGCTGACGGAGCTGATTTATATCTGCAATAAACTGAGGAAGATCCGTTCTCGCCGGGAGAGCACTGTTTCATCTTCACTGCTTTCCTCCTAAGGACTCATTCATGAATTCCTGCTCGGCATTTGTAGAAGACACACCTATTATATGCAAGGCACTGTGCTCGATGCTGAAGGGGCCTGAACATCAAAAAGACATAGCCCCCTGCCGGGCTGCGTGGCTTAGTGGTGAGCACTGACCGATGAACCAGAAGGTCACCGTTCTATTCACCATCAGGGCACTTGTGTGTGTGTGGCGCGGGCGGGGGGGCGGGGGGGGGGGGTTGCTGGCTCAATCCTCAGTGGGTGTCTTGCAGGAGGCAGCGGATCTATGATTCTCTCTTATCATTGATGTTTCTCTCTCTCCCTCTCTGAAATCAATAAAAATATATATTTTTTAAATTAAAAAAAGACCAAAACTGTAAAACATCATACACATAAAAATGATAAATTTCTTCCAGAGCAAAATTAAATGTGAAGCTGTACATCCACTGACAAGTGATATATAAATATAATGGTTCCTCACAAGCAACAAAATAAAAAAGATTATGCACCAAAGCACCATAAATACGAGAAGGAGAAGAAAAAGACACAGCCCCTGTCCTCTGGTGGCCTAGCATAGGAAGGCACCAAAAACACAGATAGGGAGAGTGAAATAAGCAAAAGCCATGGGAAACTGCTGAGAACTCACAAAGCAGTGGTTAATTCCAAGTGAAGGACACAATAAGAATCTCGAGTTTAAAAAAGAGCACGGGACCTGGTGCATTTGGACAGAATGTTCTTTCAAGCTCAGTCTTCTCCTCTTCCTCCACTTCCTTTCTGATAATGAAAATGAAGAAAGGGAAATGATATGTCAGCCTATACTAATTTACATGCTGACCAACGAGGCACTTCCCAGCTCTTACCTTTCTGTGTAAACCCCACAACAAGCGTGCTCTCCCATGCCCCACTTTATAGAAATAGTGGAAAACTCCACTTTGGATTATTTCTCTTTTTAATAATGTATTTTTAATGATAAATGACATACAGTATTATATCAGTTTCAGGTGTACAACCTAGCGATTCAACATTTCTATACCTTGCAGAGGGATCACCACAATAAGTCTAGTAACCATCTGTCACCATAATTATGATGATGTTATTGATTCTGTTTCCTAAGCTGTACTTATTTTATAATTCAAAGTTTGTACTTTTTTAAAATATATTTTTTATTGATTTCAGAGAGGAAGGGAGAGGGAGAGAGATAGAAACAGCAGTGATGAGAGAGAATCAGGCTGCCTCCTGCATGTCCCCTACTGGGGATTGTGCCCGAAACCCGGGCATGTGCCCTTGACTGGAATCAAACCTGGGGCCCTTCAGTCCACAGGCCGACGCTCTATCCACTGAGCCAAACCAGCTAGGGCAAAGTTTGTACTTCTTAATCCCCTTCCCCTTTTCTACCCCTGCCCTCTGGGGACCATCAATTTGTTCAGTTTGGGATATTTAAGGCCACCTAGGATGAGAAGCAGAATCAGGGATGCTCATAGATGCTGGCCCAGTCCACCATTGTGGGCCATTGTTCTGCACCATTCAAAAGACTCCAGTGCTAGATCCTTATCCTATGGAACTACGCAATATCAATACTATAAAGGTATGAACATCGGAATGACAGTTCCTGGGCACAAATCAGATTTTAGGCCAAATGCTCCCAATGGAAAGAAGATCATTTGTCTATCCTGTTTACGTGTTTGGGTGCATTCTTGTTCCCACGTCCCAGCACTCGTGAGTATTCCATTTCTCTTCCTCTCAGGAGGTATAGCCTTACCCCTTGACCCTAAGTCATACCTCTTGGACACTGAAGTCACAACCCAGAGGCCCTTCCATATCTGTCACATGGGCATTATTTTCTTTAGTATTTACTAGGGGCCCAGTGCACAAATTCGTGCACCTTGAAAGGAACTGTGGGCTGTGAGGCTGCGGTGGGCACAGGGGCAGGTCTCAGCCCATCCTCTGTGCCCCCACCTGGCCCCTCCAGCTGCGGCCCCTGGTCCTCTGTCTGCCAGCAGCCCTGCTCCCACCGCCGCCACTCCCACCCACTGACTATGCAGAGCGATTGGGGCCAGCGCCAGCAGCAGGTGCAAGTGGCTGCTCCAGCACTGGCAGTGGGTACGAGCAGGGCTGGCGCCAGCAGCATGTGCGGGAGCAAAGAATTTTCAGTAACCATCAGAGGCCTTCCCCAATGACAGTGACCAGCGCCCCACCTTGGTCTGGTGCCCCCGCTCACCTGCTCCAGCATCCCGCTGCACCCCCTGGTGATCAGCACATGTCATAGTGACTGGTTGTTCAGTTTTTCTGTCGTTTGGTCTATTTGCATATTAGGGTTTTATATATATAGATGCCCCCATGTACTTTCTAAAAGACACACAATAAAAGACACTTCTAAACCCATGAAGAAAATAGTCAACAGATAAGAGTTTATTTCCAGGTGGAAAGGAGGGCATTTAATAATGTTTGCCTGCCCTAACCGGTTTGGCTCAGTGGATAGAGCATCAGCCTGCGGACTGAAGGGTCCCAGGTTCGATTCCGGTCAAGGGCATGTACCTTGGTTGTGGGCACATCCCCAGTAGGAGATGTGCAGGAGGCAGCTGATTGATGTTTCTCTCTCATCGATGTTTCTAACCCTCTATTCCTCTCCCTTCCTCTCTGTAAAAAATCAATAAAATATATTTTTAAAAAAATAATGTTTGCCATCAGCAAGTCAGAAATGTTCTCCTTAAATGTCCATAGCATTATCTTCAAGTTATCTCACTGCCTTGTGTAACATATATATGAATGTTTGTGTCTTGTGCACCCCGCCCCCATTAAGATCAGAGGTGCAGCTTTGTAACCCTCTACTAGTGCCTGCATAGTGCTTTCCGTGTTGTAAAGATTTCATTCAAAAATCAATTTATGGAGCATCTATTATGTGCCAGGTGCTGTGGCTTCATACTGGGGATGTGGTGATGCATGAGACAAATGCCTCTCCTCAGAAAGAAAGAAAAACAACAAAGTATAGCCTTAGGACTATAAATAGGGATGCGTTGAAGTGCTTGGGGAGGGAGAAAAGGAACTCCCCTCCCCCGTCCCAGCACAGTTTAGGGGAACAGGCAGGCTTCCAGCAAGGTTGCCTTTGAGCTGGCACTGTGGTTCTCCTTGAAGACAACCACATTGAAAGGCTGAAGGATATGGAGATAAGCACAACTTAATCTGCCTTCATCCTGTTCTTCAAATTGCCTGACCTTGAGAGCTGAAGAAGTAGCCGCGTGGAGAAAACAATGACATTTACCAAGGCCTAGAGATGTGAAGAACTGCAGGACAGGTGCCAGGGGGAGCAGCTGAGGCTGCAGAGGGGCCGGGGGCTGCCCAGGAAGGGCCTGGCCCTGAGGAGGAGTTTAAGCTGGACTCTAAAGGTAGTACAGAAGTGCTGAGTAATTTTTAGAAGTGTTGTGATTAGATTCAGTGGCTGAGTTGAGCCCTGATACTGCTAATGTAGACAGTATCCCTCCCCACCCCACCCCACCTATCACCTCTATGTCTGACATCTATTGCTATGAACATAGGGGTGCATATATTCTTTTGAATTGGTATTTCTGGGTTCTTAGGATATGTTCTCAGATGTGGAATCACTGGATCAAACTGCAATTCCCTTTTTAATTCTTTGAGGAAACCCCACACTGTTTTCCACAGTGGCTGCACCATCTGCATTCCCAGCAAGAGCGTGCGAGGGTTTCCTGTGCTCCACATCCTCGCCAGCACTCTGTTGATTTATTGATAGTAGCCATTCTGGCAGGTGTGAGGGGCTAGCTCAATGCGGTTTTAATTTGCATCTCTCTGATGAGTAGTGATATTGAGCATCTTTTCGTATGTCTATTAGCCACCTGTATGTCCTCTTTGAAGAAGTGTCTCTTCAGGTCTGTTGCCCATTTGTTAATTGGCTTGCTTGTTGCTTTGGTGTTGTTTGAGTTGTTTGTTAATTTTGCAGATTAGCCCTTTATCAGATGTACCAGTGGTACATCTCATTCAGGCTGTGTTAAGTATGATGAAGAATATAAAGCGATCCCTTTATACTAACACACCAAAACCGCTCCTTTCACAGTGTTGTTTTTATCATCACTATGGCAACGACGGTGAACCACAATGACAATGACTAGTAGAGTTGATTCCCTTGTTTGGCACCTGAAGCACCTCAGTAAGGTATGCTTTGAACTTGACAAGGTGACTCTGACTGTGCAACTAAAAAAAAAAAAAATCAATGAATAATGGATAAAGTTAACCACCTGAGAAAGTAACCCATCCTGAGAGAAGGTAAAAGCCTGACAAAGGAGTTGTGGGAACCGCCAGATCAAATTAAGGGAAGCAGAATACTGTTTCATCCAAATACATTGCATGTTTAAAAGGAAGAATTCGATATAATCAATTGTGTTCTCATTTTTTCTGCAGGGAGAATATATTTATAGAAAGAAGATGTCCAAGAAGATGATGGAAGGCGGGTCTTGGCTTCTATCCAGCACAACGAGAGGAGGACAGTGAACATGACCCACAGGAGGGCCGTGGTCATCAGCAAGGCGTGCTTGATGCGGAACGGGGAGAACTCATCCCATTTTATCGTGTCTGCGTAAAAATATCCCTTCCGATAGTGCAATGGCCTTTCTTCACCATTCTGCTGAGTAATTATTTTATTTTCCAGACACTCTGATGCCAGGGAGGGGCTGCTGGGTGGAACTGTTCTCTCAGATCCATGACAAGATCTCT